TTTAGGAAAATGTTTCTCTTCCTTAATAAGGATTTCTCTAGTGACTTACTCATCCTGTGGTATTCAGCTATCATTTGGGGAGTTTTTAGACTGAATACACACACGCATGTGTACATCTGATGTATCATCCACATGCATGTGTACATCTGATGAAACTTGACAAAATGGAGGAAGGGAAAGAAAAAAAGACAAATAAGTCCATGAGAAAAAAGTATCTCACCTTTAAAAATCATTAACATTTCTAAAATGCCATCATACCTCCACCTACTTACTGTGTCAAGGATTATTTTTTCAGATTAGGTGCCTGCCCTCTAAACATGAAATGAGCTCATGAAATAGGCCAAAACAATGGTCTCAGGGTCTTAGGTCTCCATTCCGAGCATGCTAAATCTCTCTAACTGTATCTTTTTGTCTGGGATAAACCTGTAAACCTTCCAGGCCACAGTGGAAAGCACTCCCAGCCCCTTTTTTTTCCCAATTCATCCTGTCTCTTCCTCTCCTAAGCCAACCATCCTGTGCTCCAGGCATCTGTGCATCTGTTCCCAATCCCAATCCAATGATGTATTTAAGTACTGTATCTGTGTATAGGAGGAAGGTATCAAGATGCAGAAACAACCCTACCATCTTGCTCCTCCAGAGTCTCCCCCTGTCAATTCTCCTCCTAGTAAAGATACACAAAGGAGAGGGAGGAGCTAAGATGGCACCTTTTGAACCCAAGGTAGCTACCTATTGAAGTTTACCATCCCTTACCTCTACTAAGAGGTGGTGAAACATACCAGGAAGAACAAAGCCTTTTGAGTGTCCCGGTTCTTGGCCTGGCTCTGCTATTTATTAGCTCTAATTTGTGGCAACTCATTTCTCCTCTCTGAGCCTTGGAGTCCCCAACTAATAAATGAAGATGACAAACACATCTAATATACAGGTCTTTTACAAGACAACATGTGCAAAAAACACATTATTCATATGTCATTTTTCACTTCTTCTCCTTCTTGATTCTACCTTGGTTACTGTTCCCTATGTGTCCTGGTATGACTTTGGGAATAACTGTAAAACTCAGCCTCAGTTTCTTCACCTATGAAACAGAGACAATATCTGTATTACAGAGTTATTTTGGGACTCATATATCATAGATATAAAGCATATACGATAGCTTAGTAAAGAGTAGTTATGATTAATAGGGTACCATATAAATATTAGTTATTTTTATTATTATTAGAGAAAATACAGTGCTATCTGAGCTCTCCAAGGTTGTCAAGCTTTCTGGTATGCATCGCCCTCTTTGGCAACTGTAGCCTGGTTTTGCACCAGCAAAAAGAAAAAAGAGAGAAAAAAAATGTTCACACTATGTGTCATTGGAGAGGTAGCATATGATATAAACTGGGGAAGGAGAGAACAAGAGAAGTTGCACAAGTGGATAAAAGGCATAAAAGAATGATTTCAACATTTCCTGGGGCCTAATGATTTATACTAAAGTATGCATTTTAAAGACTGAATGACAATTATGAGAACCTTGGGTAAAGCCTAATTCCTACATTTTTCAACCCTTGATTAATAAGCAATAAATTTGTTGACTGAATCTCCTACTTAAAAAAAAAAAAAAAAAAAAGAAAAGAAAATCAGGCATTCCTGGAGCCCTTCAAGTGGAACAGTAATGGATTCTGGCCCACTCCAATCATTAACTGCTGGGCTGCTAGTACAGCCTTTCCTGGCGCTACCTATGAAAGGAACAAGCCAACTTTTGGGAACCCTAGGAGTACATTTTGGGCAGCCTGGTTTTAACTGCTTTCATCGTGCTCCGTGCTGGACATGGGTCTTTTCCAAAGGCCCTGCTTCCAAGTCACATCCTCTTATCTTCCCTCTGAAGGGGTGAGGATAAGAAAGTACTAGATATACTTTTTAATTGAAATATGGTATTAGTGAGTTTCTGCTAATGTTATTTTCCTCTTGTTACCAATCCTTGCTCTAAATTTTCACATCACTCCCTCCACAAGCCAGTAATATATATGTGTCTGGGTTTCTATCCAAAAAATAGTGAAAACTAGGACAGGAAGAGATATTAAACAAAGGAAATACTTGACAATGGAGGTCAGGACAAGGAAAGAACAAGAGAGAACATCAGACACTATTTCTGATCAAATTCAAGAGAGGTTTGCCAATAAGCCAGTAATTCCAAGCCCTCAAAGCCACCTTCATGATTTCTCGGGTGACTTAAACCTACATCTGAGAATGATGTTGGTGGTGATTAGAAGGAAGGGAAGAATGATTAAGAAATTCAAGCCACCTCAGTTCTGAAGACTGACAAAAATTCTTATGATATCCTTTAAGCAACAAGAGACCACAGTTCCCAAATGGCCATCAGGCTAAAAAACCAAGTCCCTTGGTATTTCTTCCACTATATGGAGGGGGCATGTCTGAGTCCTGGGAGATGGGTCCCCACATTAAGATCCCTGTAAGCAGAGACAGCATCTGTCAGGGTCATTACTTCACCATACCCTCAAGAACAGTGCCTGCCACCCCCCACCCCAGATGTTTGTTGAACACATGAATAATGCCCCCCTTACATCACTGTTGCCCTCATCTGTCAAATGAGGGAATTGGACCAGATTGTCTCTAAGGCCCTTTAGGCTCTAAGGATCTATGATTCTGGGACTCCGTCCAGCTAGCATTACAGCATGACCAAACCCACTCTTCATAACTAAATCACCATGATTTCATAAAGAACATAAGTGTGGAACATGGTCTAACAATCCCCACCTCTCTGCTACCAACCTAATTTTCACTCATCTTTTATCAGTGGCAAATAGTTAATCATTTCCATATCCCAGATACCTCCTTTCACTTGAATCATGTTTAATTTATACATAGCTATGCTATGACTTTCTGTTGCAGCTCATACTAGCCATGCTTCAACTTTGGATTTAAAAGGAGAGCATGATGAATGCATTCCCTACAACTCCAACAGACTCTCAAAGCTCTCCACTGGCCTCCTCATCATTAATCCCATGTCCCTCTAGTGTTAGGCCACCCAGGTCCCAACAACGTTGGGCCACATAAATACAAAACTAAATAAAGCAGATTACACCCCAAATTTAACTGGGTTAGAATTGACACAGAGATTTGGTAGACTCTACAGAACGGCACCTACCCTCTAGAAGCTTTCAATGTACCAGAACTAATAATATTCACTCCAAAGTAATAATAACTTTGTGTATCTCCTCTCTCAAAAACAATTTACATGGTTTTTTATTTACTATTTGGGAATAATTTTGAACTTACAGAAAAGCTAAAGGATATCCACTAATTTTTTTTAAGCTGAAAGAGTAACAGCAGCACAAAAAAAATAGCAATATATACTATTTACCCAGATTTACATATTGTTAACATTTTACTCCATTTTCTATTTGTGTACAAGCTTGTTTTATAAGCACATGCTTGTACTGTTTTTTATATATATACACACACACACACACACACACATATGATTCACCCCCTGAATCATTTAATAGTAAGTTACATATATCATGGCCTTTTAATATACGACTGTATCCACCAAAGATATACAGTCTTTTGTGTTGAAATTTTTTTCAATCTGTTCCTTATAACATCTATAAAATCAATAAAATAGAAAAATCAATTTTCTTAGATAAAAAAATAAATTTTTAAAACATTAATTTTAATGTCTTAAAATAGTATATTGAATATAAGCTATTCAAGTCTTCAATGATAGAATTTGAAGGATGGCAGCTGAGCAACATGAAAAATGTGTTCAGGCTGAGTCTTTCTACTAGCCCTAGATGGTAAGCACATCTTATTCCTGGGGTTGGCCTTGGTCTAAGCTAAAGAGCAAACAAGCCAAATAAACACTTCTATTTTATTTCAGAAGGAAGAAAGAAGATGCTCGAAGCTAGGCTGGTATGCTGCCAACTGCTCATGTCCATCCTCCTCTGGGAGAAGCACAGGGTGACAGGGTAAGCCATCCTGCTCCCTAGGACAGGTATGCTCCCCAAGGACAGTGCTGCAGAGGCAACCCGCTTAGAAACACCTTTCCTGCTTGTAAGTTTATGAAAATGTTCCTTTTCTCCTTGAATTAAAAACATAACCACACGCGTCCCTGCACAAGACAAGAAAGGGGAAGGATTACACACTATCTTATTTTTTTAAACCTCAGAAGGCAACAATCACCGCCAGCTAAGCCCAGCCGAGGAAGGGACAACAGCTTCTCAGGGTACCGCTTCTGCACCCTAACACCAGCTTGCCCCTTGTTTCCATGGCCCACACTACAACAAGAATGAGCTTTAAGTAAGAGAGAATAAGCAATGCAAACCCATTATATTATCAATCATGCTCAGATAAATGGCTCTTCTTCCTTCAGCAGTAAAGGATTTTACTTACTTGATAATTATTTTTGGTAAACTATTTAATATGTGACTATATTCTCTGAAGATATACAGGCTTTTGTGTTGAAAGTATTTTTTTCAAATCCTTTCCTTATAACATCTATAAAATCAATAAAATAGTATAAAATAGAAAAATTTTCTTAATTACAAAAAAATTTTTTTAATTACTATACACTTGAAAACTAAAACAAAAGATGCAGAAACTGGGTATGAAACACATGCGTATTCTCTGCAAATCCCACAAAGACTGAACATGTTTAAATCAACAGGACTCTTTATTGTCAAGGTAACTCCAAGGTAATTCTGATTTAAGTGAATCCAAAACATTTACCTTATACTAAACTCCCTTCTTTCTTTTTTTTAAAAAGAGAATTGCACATACATAATAACACCAAGGTAGGTAGATTCGAAGTGAAAGGAACATAAGAATTAGTAGGTTTGCCTCAGAAATCTGTATGTATCGGTACAGCGAGAGTTTTATAAAGGCACGTATAAACACGCGCTACATTGGAAAAACAGTCTGGCAAAGAAACAAGGAAAAGAAAGGTAAGAATAGAATGTCTCGTTTTGCCCATGAAAGAAAGAAAAGATACTGCAATCTACCTTGTTTGGGCGTCCTTCTTCGAATCTTCATTTTGGGAAAGGAAGGCCACGAGTAGTTAAAAGGTGAGTCGGAGTCAGAATCCATCTTTTTGTTTTGGTGAAATCAACAGATGAAACAGTAGAGACTCGGGAAGAACTCGGGGCGTCCCCAGTCAGGAGGCAAGCCTCCCCGTGTGATGTAAAGGGAAGGAATGAGACTGGATGAAATAGCTCCTGCACACCAGGGAGGGAAAGGCAATAAATGTTTTGCTTCCTTCGGGCATTCAGGCGTGTAGACCGACAAGGAGGCTGTAAATATTAAAGCCAAACTAGGGAAGTAAAGGAGGGAGAAGGCGGGGAGCTAAGAGTGGCTCAAACACTGCAGTCCACTTATTCAAAAGGTCATTGGGAGCAAATGAATCATTAACTCCCCTCTTCTCGTTGCTGGAAATGGAAATGAAGGAGGACGGTAACTGGGAATTAAAAGAGAGCTGCCTGTGATTGAAGAAAAGCCCCCGAATGCAGGCTTGTTTTGAGTGAGAGTATCGCTTCTCGGAAGAGCCACCCAGTGCTGTGTTAGATAAAGGTTGAGGTTTATGTGTGTGGACAGCCAGAAAGCTTGATCCCCAGGCAAATGAAGGGCAGCAGACTCCAGGAAGAGCTCTTTCCAGAGCAGACTGTTCTTTCATACCATTGGCAGCTTGGGCAGCTTTTCGGATCTAAGAACCAAAACAGCTCTGATCATTCATTTAAGAATCCAGTCTCACCACCCTTTTAATCCTAATGTGGTTGGAAGTTTTAACTTTTATATAGATTGTACTCGTTTCATTAGATTCATACAAAGTTATCTGCCACTGTTTAGCACAATTGGGGTATTTCCATATTGGTCCTGTCACCAAGTTTGGCCGTCAATCATCAGGATTTTGGCGCCTTTATAGCTCTGATCTAAACTTTCAGTCCATCTCAATAGAGTTGGTGACTAATTTACCACAAACCAACAGTTCTTGCAGTCTCCCTGAACAATTCTCCAGTAATTAGCATTCAGGAGAAGCTCATTACTGCCTCCCCATAAATCGTGGCACTGCTCAGGCTCACTTCTCCGCTTCCTATAGGCACATAGATATGCATGCCCCAAAGAAGCTCAAGCACAACAGCCGAGATCTGCAGTGGAAAAAAAAAGATATCCCAAATGTTATCAGGGAGTCTCTTTTAAGCATTTCTTTTAGTAGAAACGATAGCAAGAAATGTTTGTTTTGTTTTGTGAGGTCACCTGATGTCCAAATAAACTAAAGGACATTGGAAATAATATGAGGATCCATTAAGTCTGCAGATTTAGAAGCTGACAGTATGTGTCTTAATTAACATTCATTTCTTTGCTTCAATTATTTCCTAAATTGTCAGTACTACTGTGCCACGCTGTGCAAGAAAATAGCTGCATAGCCTGCTCCATGGAAGCTAATCCTGTCTGATTGGATAGGGGTTGAGTGCGGGCTACAGGGAGAAGAGGAAAAAGGGGAGAGACTACTTAATTTCAAATTTAAATCAAAATCAGAATTACATAAATCACTGCTGTGTTTTCATATAGTTTGTCACATAAACATACAACTAAAACAAAATACAACTATAGTTACAAACATTGCAACTAAGTGGAAAGAAATATTGATACATTTTCTATTTTGTGGCTTTTTTTTTTTTTTTTTTTTTTTTTTTGAGACAGGCTCACTCTGTCACCCAGGCTGGAGTGCAGTGGCAGGATCTTGGCTCACTTCAACCTCTGCCTCCTGGGTTCAAGCAATTCTCCTGCCTCAGCCTCCTGAATAGTCGCATCTACAGGCACGCGCCACCACACCCGGCTACTTTTTGTATTTTTAGTAGAGATGTGTTATTGCTATGTCAGCCAGGCTGGTCTCGAACTCCTGACCTCAGGTGATCCACCCACCTTGGCCTCCCAAAGTGCTGAGATTACAGGCAGAGCCACCGTGCCAAGCCTCTGGCTTTTAATTTGATGAATAAGTACATATTATTCTCAACCAGCTGGGTATAATTATAAGAATATGTAACTTTCAGCCCTTATATCCAGTAAAAGAGTATTAGTCCATATGGATCTTTAATTAGAAAATATACCAAATCTTGTGGAAGAGTATTTACATTCACTCTCAATTTTAGAGCACAAAATGGTGCCCAGGATGCTGTAGGCAGTTGCTGAAGGAATTAATGATTTACAATAGTCAGTCTCCCATATAAATGACCTTTACCCTGTGGATGAAGAACCTGTACATGACAACTGATTAAAAACACATATTTTGACAAAAACATCTACAAGAACTATTATAAAGTATTTAGAATATATATTTGTGTTTTGTTTAGCACAACAGTTGTCAAAAGAATAGTACTTCTGGGTAGAGAAAATCCATTGTTCTGAGGCTGCAGGCAATGATGAGAGTGTGCATAAGTCTATGGCCCTTTGGCTGCTTCTAAGTTGTCTGTAGACCAAGGAAAGGGGACCTTCACTAGTGTGGACAATCACCAAACCAAAATACTGTTGGATCAGGAGATGTTGTTACTTTTCTTCAGCTCTACTTGTTACCATTAAAGAATCCTTTGAAATGCAACATTTCCGAGGTGGTTAGAAATACTAAAGTCCTCATCCTGAATTGGTGGGAGTGGGTTTTGTAGCTCCTAGCTACACAGCCCATGTTAAACCTCTACTACACTATCCCCTTAACTAAAGGTACAGGAACACTTTACTTCTTACAGTTGACTGATGCTATGGGAAAGAGGGAGACATGTTTCTTATTAAATTACAAACAGAACGAAAGTAATACAATCTATAGGGGCTCCCTAACTTGTTTTATTAAGTTGGTCAGAAATGCGACAAAGTGTTCAGAAGGCTACAAATGTAGAGAAAGCAGAATCGGGGGCAGAATTTCTCAGAGGCATCAGAATGGAGGTAGGGGCCTAAGGGAAAACTGTTCATTGTAAATGCAGATTATGAGATTCCCATCCCAGGTGTGTTGAATCAGTCTCTCTGAGGGTGGCCCAGGAACCTGCAATAATTTACAACAAGCACCACCCCTATCCCAAGCAATTCTTATGCCTATAGAAGTTTTAGAGTCACTCAACTAGGAGGTAGATAAACCCCACATCAGCAAGTTACTGGAATAGGCTGTTCCTCCTATGACTACTAGTGACAGGTCAGAAGAACTTCAGGGCAATACAGACAAAGAGAGAGACGAAAAAACTCCATAAAAAGTATTTCTATTAGTTGAGATTCCAGACAGATTCATCCTGATCTAATTCTCCCAAATGCAGTCCTTGTTGACCAATTACATATCAAGTGATTCTTGATGTCAAAATTATTCTGAAATAGTATTGAACAACTTAACTAATACATGTGAGACACCCAACTGATATATGTGAAAATACCTCAGATATCAAAAGAAGAGACTTTCCAATGTCCTCATTTGCTTCACTATTTTTCAGTGTTTTCTAAATAATAAAATGATTTCTACTGACCAGCCATGTTTGCACAGCCCCTTTTATTTTTAGGCCAGCTTACTTCCTTGCTCACCAACACATTTCTTCTGAAGATGTGGGTCATTTATTCTCCTTGTTTTCTATAGTAATTGAGGTGGGTATTTTTTTTTTCCATTTTATCAATATAATTGCATTCAAATTAATTCAAGATGTTATTTACATCTCATTCATATTCAACAGGTGACTGTTACTGGCTGATTGCAATTGCAGACAGCAGAATTCAATGACATATCCCCCAGGCCACCCTTTCACCATATATCATACAACCATTACCATGTAAGAGTATGAATGCTTTCACAGAAGATACCTTCACCTGAATATGCCTCCTTTAATTAGAAAATTCTTCACCTAGAAAAGAACTTCCATGAGGTTATAATTATTTAGGGAAGATGCTGCCGCCTTGAAGTTTCAGCTTTCTAAAAGACCCACATAAAAAAACTTTCCTTGATCTTCATTTAGACATTAACCTGCCTTTCAACCTTGATGAAATTAAATCTCAAAGAAGTATTTACAGTTTGGTCTGAATTACAGTATTTGTACAGTTTTCTCATCTTCCAGGGGGACCCAAAATTCTTAGTGGGCAAGAACTGTGTCACATTTTTAATGCACCACAAGCTAAAAAGAAAAATCATGGGTTTGGGAAACACAGATATCTGGACTCAGATAATGGCTCCATCACTTAGTGGCCCTAAACAAGTCATTCACATTTTCTGAGACTTAGTTGTCTCATAGCGAATGGAATCATAACACCTGTACTTTAAAGGGTTATTGTGAGGATCCAATGAGATTATAACAGTGAAGAACTTAACATAAGTAAATTTTCAACAACTTTAAATGTTGAATGTAAATAAAATTTCCCTTTCATATATTACTCTTCTATGTTATAGACACTGAAATAGTCTGTCTCAAAAAAAAAAAAAAACAAAAAAACCACACACACACACACAGTCTTGCTCTATCACCCAGGTTGGAGTGCAATCACGTGATCTCGGCTCACTGCTACTTCCGCCATCCAGGCTCAAGCGATTCTCCTGTCTCCTCAGCTTCCCAAGTAGCTGGGATTACAAAAAATGTGCCATGGCCAGGCTGGTCTTGAATTCATGACCTCAAGTGATCTGCCTGCCACGGCCCGCCAAAGTGCTGGGATTACAGGCATGAGCCATGGTTCCTGGCCACTGAAATAGTCTCAATTTGACCCTCAGAAGTAATCATTTGGTTTTCAAAACTGAGACATGGCAATGTGCAAGGAAGTTCCAAGAAAATCATACCAAGACAGAAACAGCAGGAGGAGAAGAAGGAAGAAGAAGAAGAAGGGAAGGAGCTCGAAGAGGAAGATTTGCTTTGCTTCTCTACTCCATTGTTAAGCCACCAAGACACCACAGTTTTTACTACTACTAGACATTGTTCCTGGAACAAATCCAGATAAAAGGAGGCAAGGCCTCTGAGGCTAGGATAAGCCTTTCCTGGATAACTTGAACCACTGCAGTGACAACTTAAACATATGCTTCATCATATGCAGCCTTAACTTCTAGAATAAGGTGAAAATCAGGGATAGATAAAGCCTTCCTCAAAATCCCTTAGAAGCCACGATGTCATCTCTCAGCAAGCTCAACACAAACAGTCCTCCTGTGGATCTAACAATGCCAGGCACCCGGTGAAATGGGTGGCTTTCATGGGGAGGCTATTATGTTGTACAGAAAATGAAGATCTTTACGAGCATGGTTCCTACCTTTGTGCCAAGACGCCGTCACTCTGAGAAGCATGGTAGGAACAGCACGTTGACATCTGCAGTGTCACACTCATTCATGGACTTTATCCTCTCAAAATGAAATGATAGGTGCAGACACCATGAGGTGTGAATTCTGATTTTCCTCCCGAGTTCCCCCCGCCCCCAGTGCTTTTTATTTTTTACAGAGCCCATAAAATTGAAATCACAAAAAATAGACATGAATTGGGAGCATGGTACAACCACTGTTGTCAAAAATTGGAATCACATGATGCCACTGTCCATAATACCATCTTGCTTAAAACGAAATGTTTTAATTTATTGTCTACCGTTATTACCCTTATTTATTTGAACAAAAGAATTTATGTGCACCTGCAGAGGTTCTGATATGGTCTTTACATCCCCTATTCTCTAAGAGGAAAAAAATGAATACCACCTAGAAGCCCAGCTAGAAGAAGTTACTGATATTATGATATGTGTCTACATATAATACATATAATAAGAAAATAAGAAAATACTCAAAACACCTCAGGGTAGGAAAATAGTAATAATTATCTATTATTAAGATAAATATTAATAAAATATTAATGATAGATTTCCTGATCGAAGCAACATGTTAAAGAATTATATTGTCAAGCCAGGCATGGTAGCTCATGCCTGCAATCCCAGAACTTTGGAAGGGTCAGGTGGATGGATTGCCTGAGGTCAGGAGTTCGAGACCAGCCTGGCCAAATAGTGAAACCCCATCTCTACTAAAAACACAAAAAAATTAGCTGGGCGTGATGGCAGGTGCCTGTAATCCCAGCTACTAGGGAGGCTGAGGCAGGAGAATCTCTTGAACCCAGGAGGTGGAGGTTGCAGTGATCTGAGATCATACCATTGCATTCCAGCCTGGGCAATAAGAGGGAAACTCTGTCTCAAAAGAAAAAAAAAAAAATTACGTTGTCAACGCTTCCACCACTTGGTTAATATTGCTACAGATATAAAGTTCTACCTAGATGATTATCTTAAGAAAAATA